AAAAGCTGGACTGGGTCAGGAGTTTAAGGCACAAGGAAACAGTCACCCTGAAGAGAGTGGGGCCCCCTAAGGGGAGCCCAAGTCCCTGTTATGACTCTTGGTCAGATTGTCTCCAGACACCGAGGGCCTCCCCCAGCCCCAGGAATGGGAACAAGGTCAGCTGCCAGATTAGTTAACAATGTGAAGCAGGAGTTTAAAGCTGTTTTGTTTACAAAGAGCTAATCAGCCTGACAGCAAAGGACCCCAGCCCCTCCCTCTGCTTAATATATTAATATTTGATTGCTGTTTGGGCCTTTATTTTCCTATTCTCTCAACTTTAGACCTTTCTTTCATCCACAACCTAGACAGGAATGAAGTTGACAATGAGAAATAAGTTTATCTCCTCACGGTGACACACATCCATCAGTTTCAGGCATGGGGGTAAACCTGGGTGTGAGGCTTCAAGTTCTCTGTTTGCTGTGTTTTACCTGTAAGCCATTATTAAACACACACACACACACACACACACAGAGAGAGAGAGAGAGAGAGAGAGAGAGAGAGAGAGAGAGAGAGAGAAAGACCTCTTTGAAACTCCTGAGAATTTGGGACTTTAGATTTTCACCTTGAGTCCTCCATTTGTTAATTAAACTTTTATTTCAAAAGCTGGATTCGACTCTCCAAGGACAACTTTATTTTTCTTTTACTTTTGTTCAACATATGTCACTTTTTCCTCTGTTTTCAAGGGAACAAAAGTCAGAGTGACCCTACATTGAATACCTTTTTTAACCAATCCTTCAGGTTTATATCAAAATGGTCTCATTGTGTATCTGTTTTTCTGTATTAGCAGAAGCAACTGATCTGGCAGTGGAAAAAATAGCTCTTGCATGTATTTCAAAGAAACAATGGTATTCTGATTAAGCAGCATTATCTTGCATGTTTTAATGAATGATACAATTACAGTAAAGACTGAAACCAATTGTCACGATGTCGACGTTGGCTTGGAATGACTGTAGTATAAATCTACTCATGGAATTTTGCAGAGCAGTAATAGGAATATCAAACAGGTCATGCACTGTATTCTCATTTCATTGTTATTTATGTTTGCCTGGACTTGATTCAAAGTCTCAGAAACCTCTTACTCTCATGATATTTTTACCTATGAAATCATCATATCCTACCAGAAGCCTGTAGATGAGCCATTCCTTAAAGAAAATGAAGTTCTAAAATTAAATTTGTCTTATTGTCTATCTCTGATTTGTGTAGAGGTCACCACACCTCATGGCCATAAACACACTCGTTAATCAGATGAAAATGAATGCATTTAGCCATTCATTTATTTTTCATAAAACCTACTGAGAATCTACTGTGGGATAAACACTGTGATGACAATTTCCAGAGATATGAAGAAGAAAAAAAAAGTGGGTCTCCAATTGCTCTTGAAATGACAGATAAAACGATGCACATGTAATCAATGATGGAATATATTTTATGTATGTAATACTATGTATCAGATAGATATATATTTGTTTCTCTCTGTTCAGGGAAGACTCTACGGCATGAAGCTATTATCATTATTCATCATCTATTGAAAGAATATTACCCTGCATGTCTTCAACATTGTACAGTTTAGTTTTTATATAATTAGTAAAGATAATTTGCTTTATACAAGGAGAGTTTCAAAAGACATTTACATCTATTAACTCATTTATCTGTGCTCATAATCCTTTTCACCTCACATTTCACGTAATAAGGCATAACAGAAATTCTTTATCTAGGGACTTAGCAAATGCAAGAGTTTGAAGCGAGCAGTTCATTCATTCAACAACAAATGCATTTTGTTGTTAGCAAATATTAATAAATACATATATTTTGCCCCATCTTGGGTCGTGTAAGTAGTAACGAACAAAACAGTTCTTTTCCTTGCCTTATGTGGTGCATGCAGACTAGTGAAAGAAGACAGACATTGTACAACGAAACACATAATTAAATATTGGACAAATTGTTATTAGGAAACAGAATAGGGTTCTACGAAAGAGAAGATCAATGAAAGCATACGATTTAGAATCAAGAACAAAGAACCCCCCTCTGAGGAACTGGTTGGTACATGATCTGAGAATTGAAGATCAAATTAGTCAAAGAGTATTAGAAAGAGTGTCCCTAACACAGAAAAAATATATGCAAAGTGACAAAGTATAAAATTACAAATGTATTTAAGAAACTGAAGAATGCAAGAGTGCTGAGAATGTAACATACAAGAGGAAAATAGTGCACAATGAGCCTGGAGAACTAGGCAAGAAGTGTATCAGAGAGGGCCAATAGGCTAGACTATACTGCAATAACAAATAACTCCTCAAATATCAGTGGCATAGCAAAAAAAAAAAATTATACTAGTTTACATATATCATAGTCTGATATAATGGTGGTGATAGTAGATACCATGGTGCCACATGGTGGCTCATGCCTTTAATCCTAGCACTTTGGAAGGCTGAGGTGGGTGGATCACTTGAGGCCGGGTATTGGAGACCACCCTGGCCAACATGGCAAAACCCCCTCTCTATTAAAAACACAAAAAATTAGCCAGGTGTAGTGCCACACGCCTGTAATCCCAGTTACTTGGGAGGCTGAGGCATGAGAATTGCTTAAATCCTGGAAACGGAGTCTACAGTAAGCTGAGAGAGTGCCATTGCATACCAGCCTGGGCAGCAGAGCAAGACCCTGTCTAGGGGGAAAAAAAAAAAAGAGAACTTCACCCCAGTCATATAGTCACAGGGGTTGGGGTGGGGAGAGCTACACAGAGAAGGTATGCATGCTTTAATTGCCTTAATTTATACGAGGCACTTATCACTTAAACACAATTTAATTGATGGAAACTAGTTCACAAGGGCCCACCAGGATGCAAATGGGTTTGGAATTGTGGTTTAGTTGCATGCCCAGTACAAATAAATGATTTGGCAAGGTGCTATCCGGTGTCTATTCAGATCATAGAGGAAGAAACTTTGTACTTTATCCTAAAGGTTACTACGGGGTGGTAACATTGCTATGGTCTGAATGTTTGTGTTCCACCAAAATGTGGGAGATTGTTAGGTCATGAGGGTGGGACCCTTATGAATGAAATTAGAGCCTTTATAAAACAAGCCTGAAATGTGATTATGTCACTGTACTCTAGGCTGGGTGACAACAGGAGTGAGAACCTGTCTCAAAAAACCCCAAACAAACAAACAAAACCAGACAAAACAAGCAAAAGAGGCCTGAGGGAGCTCAGTTGGCCCACAGAGGGGAAGACACAAGGAGAGTGCATCCTTTCTGAGCCAGGAAGCAGGATCTTACTGGACACCAAATCTGCTGGTACCTTGATTTTGGACTTCCCATCCACCAGAACTGTGAGAAATAAATTTCTGTTGTTCGTAAGCTACCCAGTCTGATATATTTTGTTATGGTAACCCGAATGGACTTACAAACATAATCAATTTTTGTGTGATCACTCTACTATCAGTGTGAAGAACAGAGTAGAGAGGCTCCCTCTGGCCTCTGAGTAAACTTATGAGATAGATATATTTTTCTCTTCTGTTAGGCAAATGAATGATCCTTATGTTTCCATCTTCCTTTTCCAAAAAACTAAAACTTATAGCTAACTTTTCCTGAGAATCACACGAGGAAAAACAAAGTATCGCTGAAGTTGAGTCCACAATTTAAAAAAAAACTAACAGAGGGTTGGGCTCACACCTGTAATCCCAGCACTTTAGGAGGCCGAGGCGGGAGGATCACGAGGTCAGGAGATCGAGACTATCCTGGATAACAAGGTGAAACCCCATCTCTACTACAAATACAAAAATGTAGTCAGGTGTGGTGACACGCGCCTGTAGTCCCAGCTACTCTGGAAGCTGAGGCAGGAGAATCGCTTGAACCTGGGAGGCAGAGGTTGCAGTGAGCCAAGATCGTGCCACTACACTCCAGCCTGGGTGACAGAGCGAGATTCCATCTCAAAATAAATAAATAAATAAATAAATAAAATAAATAAACTAACAGAATAGATAAATAAAAACTCTTCCAAGATAAAGAACCAAAAAAATACAATAAACAACCTTCAGAGCTCCAAGAAGTAAAATTAGAATACTTAAAGTTATAAAAGAGCCTTAAAAACACCACACTAAAAAAAGCAACACTAAGCGATAAAATACAGAAACAGTATGAAGTAGAATTATAATTGTAGCATATAGTTCTTAAAATAAAATGACAGTAGTTAATAGAGTTAATAGATGAAATGGCAAATTAGACATATATAATAAATGCATTAGTGACTTGATTGAAAGTTCCATATCGAGGATCCAGTGTAAATGCCAAGATGGAGAATATAAGGGTGAGATCAAGTAATATGGGGAAGAGAATGGAAGGGCCGAAAGAGGGAATGGGGAAAGGGTATTTTGAAAAGGCAATGCAGCACTTTGGGAGGCCGAAGCAGGTGGATCACCTGAGGTCAGGAGTTTAAGACCAGCCTGGCCAACATGACCCGTATCTACTAAAAATACAAAAAAAAAAAAAAAAAAAAGAAAGACAATTAACCAGGGGTGGTGGCAGGTGCCTGTAATCCCAGCTACTCAGGAGGCTGAGGCAGGAGAATCGCTTGAACCTAGGAGGTGAAGGTTGCAGTGAGCCTAGATCATGCCACTGCACTCCAGTTTGGGCAACAGAGTGAGACGCTGTCTCAAAGAAAAAAAAAAAAAAGGCAATTCCTTGCCATTTTACAAAGGAGTTGCTCCTCGTATGTAAGAGGCATGAGACTGAAACATAAAACAATTAGAAGCAGTGCTGGACTGGACATGGAGGCAAACATCAGGAAATTGAAGAAAAGGAAAATTTTTAAAATGACTGTTAAGAATAGACATATTACCTCCAAATGCATATGCACTCGTTATATCAACCTTACATTTTTCAAAAAAAATTTTTCAAAAAAAGAAACATTTTCAAAACAGAATTTTTTTTTAATAGAGGAGAGAGGACATAACATTTTCTTATTCCTCTTTCTATCTGTATACCTCCAAATAGTTATAGAACCTGTATCTCTCATGGTATGTACAGCTGAAAAAGGAAAAATCATAAAAATGTCCAAAAGACATGCTATTTAATTGTGTGGAGGGATGAACAAACATTTAAAGAAATCATAAAATGTGTTATTTTTATTATTATCTGCATTCTCATCTAAATGATCACCTTTCTACATTTCCCATGTTATAATTTCAGTTTTTACACAGTGAGGTTTCTAACAGTCCACACACTTACAGTTTGTATAAAGGTGTATGTGTATGTGTATGTATATATGTGTATTTGAATATTTAGAAGTGAAGGCTCTGTGTTTAATGAAACCATGATAGAAAAGCATTCTCTGTGATATTAATTAAATTTTATTTCAGGGTGTCATCTCCTCCAGCTCTTATTCCATCTGCTTGTCTATTCCTACTTCTTAATTGACTACTTTCCCATAGACTAAAACCACATCCAAGATTGTGCCATACAATGAAACCCAACAATGAAACCTTGAGTTTAAGCCTCTAGCTGATGTGGTCTTAATAACAAATGCCACCAACCTCGCATGTCTCTCTGGCTCCAATTATCTCTTTCTCCTTCCCCTCACTGAGGGGTGTTTCCAAAAATGACCAGTCACCGAGGTCCTTACTTTAAATTTTCCTTTTCTCTAAATTTTTACCGAGCACAGGCTTTATCTTTTTGCTTTTTCACTATCGTCCCTCTGAAACTACCTTAGCAAGCTCATCAATCACATCACATTTCTAAACCCAATGCTTTCATCTTGCTCTCTTCCTCAGATGTTAGAGGATTTGACATCGTTGAACTCTCTATTCTTCTTGAAGTTCTAATGCTGGGCTTAGAGTCCTCACACTGTCCTGGCTTTTCTCCAGTCACCCTGGGCCTTCCTTTTCCGTTATTAATGCTGACTCCTCTTCATCTGATCCTCCCGGAACCGTGCCCCACCTCACCCCTGTGTTAGATGATGGTTTCTTCTGGAGAGCTTACGTTCAGCATAATCTGGAATGAATTAGCCAATTTGACGGCTGAGAAGCTTTTCGTCCAAGCCTTTGTGAATATCTTCTGGCTCAGCAAGACCCAAGGACATCAAGTCCCTTGTAAAATTCCGTGGTCTAGAATAAGGGATTTAGTGGGGAAGACGAGAAGGCCAAGGGAAACTAGAGGCACATTATAAACATCTGTTATTACAAATCTCTTCTCTAAGGCTGAGATTGTGAATCACAAGCCATTTAATTTCCACTGCCGAGTGGGAGGGTGAACAGTGTGAATCAGTGGTTAAGATGAGTAACTTAGGAAAACAGATACCTATGGTGATAGGGTCAGCTTCCAACTTGAATAACATTACCTCATTAGCTAAAGTATTTGATGTCTGTAATGTTGACGTTTTTGTTACTTTTCTCTATTACTTAAAAATAGTTGAATTTTGTATTCCAAATTCTTCTTCTATTCTAGAAATTTTTTTTTGCAAGTTTACCCAGTGAGATTCTGTATAAACTAGAAGAATATTAAGTCCTTCAAAACAATGAAACCTTGAGTTTAGGCCTCTAGCTGGTGTGGTCTTCATATACATAGTCCTTTTATAGCTGGCTGACAGTCCGTCAAAGGGACTATGGGTCGACCAGCAAGTGTTCATGCTCTAAATTGAGGAACATAAAACAAGGGGTGGGAGTACGCTTTGGGACAAAAATGCCGTAAGAAAACATTCGATTATTTTTGAAGTGGAAAGATAGATATTTTTGGAGACAGATACTTCTCTGGGTACTAATAGAAAATCCATTCCTTCATTCCTTTTCACCGATGGAATTTCTATTTTGTTGGGGCAGCAATGTTATAAGATAAAAATCACATTTCTAGGAAGATTAGATGACCAGCAATGATCATGTGAGACACATTTTTGGTCATTTCTGTGTATTTCTGAAAAATACTTTGCTTTCCTGATGTAAATGCAACGTCTTCTTGTTTCTAACTCGTTTCTGCAGTCTGGATTACAGTCACAATGGCTGGAATTGCAACTGCCTTCATGTGCCCAATCACATGAGAAACCAGAAAGCATTTTCTTTCCACCAGTTTCAGACTGTTTATGTCTGAATTTATTGTTATATGGAAGAAAAATAAATCTCTGTTTAGTCTAACTGGCGGTCACTTGGATTTTTTTGTATGCAGCTGAACCCAAACCCTAACTGATGCAGTTTCGAGTCAGATGAGCCAGTGCAGCAGAATGAAAAGAACGAAGACTTGATTCAGGCATCTGGTTTGCATCCCAGATTAGCTACTAACATCTGAGAGACCTGGGGCAAGATGTTAAAGCTTCTGAACCTCAGTTTCTGCGTCTGTGCATTGGAGCTTACGATACAGAACTCACTCCCTAAGTCAGCAATAAGGACTAATTGAATTAATGAATAGCTTCTGTAGACAGGAGTTAAAATTATAATGAAAACCTTAATAGAAGAATGTTTTGAAAGTGCTCTCCAAAGTAACATACATCCAGAAGAATCCATTTAAAGGTGGAGTCAGACTATTTCTGACCCAGTCCATTTGTTTTATGCACTGCCAGCAATATCATTGTAGCGGAAAACATATTTTATGGTGTGCTGGGTGGCTGGAGTAGCAGCACTCAGATGCACGTGCACTAATTCCAGGTCAGCAAGAAAGTTCCAAAACACCCCTGACAAGACCCAAACTGACCCCTTTTAACTCTTGAGTGAAATGTTATTTTACTCACCCAAGAAATCACTGAAAATAAAGCTATTTCTCAAAGGGGAATTTAAATAAATGCCAGAGAAAGAATAGTTCTCTCCAGGGCCTCATTCTGAACTTCCAGTTTGTTCTTATTGCTGTTTTTAAAATAATAATGCAGAGTATCAGGTGTGTTTTCCATTTCTAACCTCAGTATAACTACATACACTAACACACATTCTAGTTTGTCTTTTCCTGCCATGTTCTTTCCACTTTCAGGAGTGTGGGAATATTTATGGGAAATTTCCAATAACTCGAGTGTATCTTTGAGATAAGGTAAGCATAATGGGCCATGTAATTGGACAGAGGTGGCTGGTGGGGGGCCCTTCTTTTGGGTAAAAGGAACAGAGATATATCTGAGCAACTTCAGAAGGTAGCAGAAGAGAGAGGTGGTTACCATGTCCTGGCTAGAAAACTGAAGCAGGGAAGTAGATTGAAAGCAACATCCCTCTAGGAACCCGTTCTCCTGCATTGCACTCTCTTGTCTGTCGCTGACAGGCTTCTCTCTATTTTCTCTACCAAAGAATTCCCTTTGCAACAGAGTACAGAAAAACTAAATCCAGAGCTTCGTGACTCTGACTTTCCTAAGTAGGATCATAATGATGATTGTCTATAGCATGATTTAAAAATTCACTAAATGTTTTTATACCTATTTTCTTATTCCTCAAAGTACAACTTCTCTCACCCTTCATTTGAATTCATCTCTATTCTACTCTAAATTAATATATTATCTATGAGGATTCAAAATCTTCATGGAAAGCAATCTCCCAAAATCCAAGTTACAAATCCTGAACAAAATATCTATCTACACCCCTGAACTAAAATCAAAGTCGAATTTATTCTTCATATTCACTCTGCACTGCTCTTTTATTCATCACCATAACCATCACCTATAACTTTGGTTTTGCTCAAGCCATGGTCAAAGTACCATGTTGCTGAAAGATTGGAGACTTTGTGACTCAAACAATTGAACAGAGACTTGACAATCCCCTTTGATTCAATTGCCATATGTCAGTGTTTCCTGTCTGTCCTGGAAAGCTGCACCTTTCTCAGAATCACCCATGTCCTGCTTTCTTTTCCCGTGTTGGGTGTATGGCTTCCGTCAGTTCCTCTGGGGAGTGAGCTGCCCTTCTGTTGTGAAGCCTGTTTGCTTATCAACCTTTCAGGGAGGTTTTTGTTAAGGAGTCAGGAGGAAGTGCTCATCCAGATAGCACATGTGTCCATTCTTTTGGTGGTTGTAGTCACTAGGATTTCAAAAGATGTTCAATACATTAGCAATGATCAGTTTCTTTCAGCTTTTTCAGGGTTGCCAAAGAAAAGAAATGACAGGAACTATTTCACATAATAGAAAAAACACAAACAGCCAACCAACAAAAGACCTCACACAAATCAATTAGAGAATTATTAGGAAGCAATAGCAAACTTTTCAAGAGAGAAGTAGACTTAGTTACGTCTTCATCTATATGCAAAGATTTGGAGGGAAATAAACCACAAATTTGTATTTCAGTTGCAATGTGAAATTAGTATATTTTATTAGTCTTATACTTCTGTTTACATGTTGAAAACTATCCTAAATACCCAAAACATGAATGTGAATAGATTTCTTTATCATATTTGTAAGGCTACAGGGGTAATTCATGAGCAAAACAGATATACAGTAAATTCATGTATCTTCCACAAGGAAAGGCATCTTAGATTTCATTGTAATTTTCTTAAAGCATTTCCAAAAATACAACCAAGTCTGTAAGAATGGAGGTTAGAGCGAAAGAAGTCACTGAAGCACCAACCTTTAAGTGGTTATTTCTACTCTCCTGTGTCTAAAGACATCCAGGAAGAACATTTCTCACCAGCCAGAAGCCAGATGAAAGGATATGTTAAGTATCCTTATGGCTTCCCACAACTCTAAGATAAGTTCTTTCACTTATTCCCCCTTTTTAACAAAGTTATAAAATAACATCAGTGTGAGAATGTTTCATAATGTACTACCTGGGGTGAAAACAACCCAAAATACTCCTCCATAGAAAAACCTATAGAATATATCTTAAAACCCCAAATTATGCTCTTTAAATGGATAGCCCATCTACAGATCTTTTGTGAAGCAATTTTGTCCATAAAGAAAAATAATCATTTTCTCTATGATCTCTTGAGTAGGGTGACTCTTCTTGGTGCTCCCATTGTCAACACAATTGGTGCTCCCATTGTTTACTTTTATCATCACTGTGGTTGCTGATTGCTTTCCCAGTAGATTAACAAAAAGCTAATTCCAAGGGATTGTAGTGGCCAGAAAACTAATATGCATAAATGATTTTTCAGGGAAGGAAAGGTGACTAATGTATCAATTATTGAGAAATATATATAATATTGTGTGTTACAAGTGCTATACTCTGCAGCCATTAGTCAGTTCTACAATTACATGTACATTTTACATAAATCACTATTTAATAAAAATAGGCATGATACAAATGTCAAAGCTATTGCTTTGTCTTTGAAAATCCACATTTAGGAAAATAATCAGCTTGCATATGGGAGGGATGAAAAAGAATAATGGGAGATTAACTAATGGAGATACAATACTTACAAGAGAATCTCTGGACCCAGTAACTGCTTCTTCAAAATTTTCAACTAAGGAAACAAAAGAAGGTTCTTTATAAATATTCTCTTGCAGCATTACTTTCAATAATAAAAGTTTGAGAACAACTTAAATGTTCAACAGAGGGGATTGATTAGGGGAAAACAGGGGTAAGTTGATAGAATATTAGTAACCATTAAAATTGAAAATTATAAAAAAGGAGCAGTGAAACAGCCACACTAAAATATGGCATCTCTTTCCTCATTGGAACCATTTAAAATTCATATGTGATTTTTTACAAGGCCTGGAGAGAAAGTGAAAAACTTGAAAAGAGTAAATTTGTTACAGTAGTGGAGTTATATATATATATTTAATTTGGCACTCTTGCTGTATCCTAGTGTACTAGTTGAACTAAAAAAAGTGTAAACTTAAAATTTCTTAGAAAGTCTAAGATAGCAAGAAATAAATTGACAAATATCAAGAGTTATAGGAGGCCAACACCTGAGACGCACATGATGAATGTACACAGTCAATGCTGAAATGTGAAGAGTGAAATCTTCCATGCCAACTGGACTGGACAGAGAGAGCCTTTGGGTGAGAGTCCTTCACTTATCTCTGTGCTTAATGACTTTTTCCTTGAATCCCAAAGCTATGATTTTAGTTTTTTGCCTTGAACTTGTTTGTCCGCTTTGTCATGACAATGTTCTCCTGTTCCCACTTACAAACTGCAATACCTTGCTAGAGGAAGTCCCTGAATTGGGTGGAAGTGAATACTGCTGTCTTACACTATCTAAATACAATGGAGCTACCAATATGAATATGGATATTATCTGTTGATTTTACAGTCCATTGAAACTATTGTTAAGTATCTTCTTCACTCTGTAAAATAAGAGACATATGCCTTTGAGAGTGTGCTATGGTGGCAGGAGGATGGTTTTGCAGTCAGACAGACCTGAGGTCAGTTTCTGGTTCTCCATCTATTATCATGTGAACTCCAACAAGATACTTACCTTCTGAAAGCCTCAGTGTCCTCCCACAAAAATGTACAACTTCAACAGTGCTGCTCTGAGACTTAACTATAGTGCTAGGCACATGAAAGGGGTTTAGCAAATGGTATTATTATTAAAACACTGCCAGCCAGGGGTGGGTGTTGGATGGGAAAGCATTCACAGCCAGGAGTTGAATGAGTGGGAGGAAGCATGGAAGGAGTGTAAGGTAACCCAAACTTTTCAGGCATGAGTGATTGGAGAGGGCTGTTCTTGCCACTAAGACAGACAAATACATGAATACAAAGTTGTAATTTTGGAAGAGCTGGTAGTAGGTTTTTATTTTCTTAGGGACCCATTCCATTTTTACCCTTCTCCTCTCTTAGAAGAAAAGGTGTCTAGCTTTCTTGAAGTCCTTTCTTTCTGATCGAAGCTCCTGCTCTCACTTCCTCCTTCAACTCTCCCTTGTGTCCATGACCTCTGGCCCTCCCTTTCAGCTGACAAGCCTTATGCCTGCCTCTTTCATGTACGCGTTCCCTGTACTGAGGACAGCACATGTGACTCTTCAATGCTAGCTACCCTGTTTTCCTTTCCACTCTAAGGCTTCTAGGATGACTCGTTTTTCTAAACTCTGCCACATCTTCGTTATCGTCTCACAACTTAACTCCCTGCATCTGATGTCTACTCTCATGACTAATCTAAAATTGTATTTTCTCGAAACTCCAACCATGGCTTTCTTTTCTTTGGATTCACATCTTAATCTATATTTTCCTTGGTGTACAGCCTTGATGTAGGACATGTTTTGATACTGCCATCTTCCTAAATGTTTCTCCTCATAGTCACTTCTATATTTGTCAGCATTTTCCCCTCTGTTCTCTTTACTTCAGTTAAACACTCTCCAATAGCTATGTAGTTAAGAAACTGTGTTGTAGCCAAGTACATTCTATTTGTATTTTCTTTGACCTTGCAACCTGGGCTTCTCTAAGCTTTAATTTTCCCATCTATAAAATGGGGTTAATAATCATATAACTGTTGTGAGGTTTAAACAAGGTAATGGTCAGCACAGGGCTTTATACACAGAAACCATCGAACAATGCTATTTGTGTTGCTGTTACTCTTTTTTTTTCTTTTTTATGTTTTGGGACAGAGTCTCACTCTTTTGCCCAGGCTGGAGTGCAGGGGCACGATCTTGGCTTACTGCAACCTCCACCTCCCAGGTCCAAGTGATTCTCCTGCCTCACCCTCCTGAGTAGCTGGGATTACAGGGGCACACCACTATACCCGGATAATTTTTGCATTATTGGTAGAGATGGGATTTCACACGTTGGTCAGGCTGGTCTCAAACTCCTGACCTCAGGCGATCTGCCAGCCTTAGCCTCCCAAACTGCTGGGATTATAGGTGTGAGCCACTGCGCCCGGCCTGTTGTTTTCTTTTTTAAAAATTAGATTATAAAAGAGTGCTTGGGATTGGAATTTCCTTGCTTGGGACTGGAAACACTTGGCACTCTCATGAAACAATTTTACCTGTTCTTGGGAACAGCTGAGACTAATTAGTCAATTATGACAATTTCTTTTAGGCAATATTTACAGTATTTCCTGAAAGATACTACAGTTGAATGAATACTATCTAAACATCTATAATTAAATTTCCTTTGCTTAAGGGTTATGGTCAGTTGCTCTTTATGTCATCCATCTCCTTGGACAGATGAGAAAGCAGCTTATCCCTCCTTATGCTAAATAAGGCAGTGATATGCTATTGCTTTTATTCCCTACAAAACCACAAATAGCAACCTGGCAAACATAATTAAAAAGTCAGATAAGCCTCTTTAGGTTAGAATTGATACCTTGCTTGTTCCAAACTCTAAACTTGACTCTAAGCCATAGTCAAGAAATCTCTTTCCTGTGCTCTCAACCACTAAACGAGCAACATCAGCACTGGCTTTTGAGATTAATCAAAAGGTAAAAGATTCAGAGGTTCAGACGGAGTGTACTGGAGGCATTAGGGAAAATATCTGGATTTTGGTCAGCATTGTTTCTGATGAGGAGTAGATTGGGAGAAAGACTGTGAAACCCATTATGAGTTTTCTGTCTTTGGTATATCTCATTGAAATAAAAATATCAAAAAGTTGCCTGAGCTTTATAAGGGAGATGTCCCGCAAGAAGTAGACTCAAGCACAAATCCTCAAATACCTCATTTGTTTCCAAATGTCTTCAAATATTGCCTTATTTAGACATCTTCCAAAACTTTTTCTCTAGAAACATTAGAGGTTTATCTAGACACAGTTTGCTACAGTGATGATGTCACACGTGTTTCACCTTAAATGGCTCACTGTCTAAATGAACTCAACACTCTTGCCCTCTTCCCTTGTTGCAGATGAACCAGCTTCATAAAGAAAGTCCCCGTTTGTGCAGTCCTCCAGCTCTGAAACCTCACAGTCATCATTAACTCCTTGTTTCCTTTCCTCTAAAGCCCAAACTGTATCAGTCCCCAAATTCTCTTGACATTATCATTGAGATCTTGTTATTTATCTCCAGTTTCTTCTGTCTTTAACTTAATTCAGATCCTTTTGTGTCACTGTATGTCTGGAGAACAATGAAAGCCTCATAACTCTCTCATCTCACCAATCCATCTTGCAGGAATAATTGAACTAAGAGATTGCTTTTCATCATCTTTGACCTTTCAAAGACCCTGTATCTTCAGAGTGAAGACCAGATTGACATTACAGTCTTCAACCAGCTGGTACAGACTATCATTACAAACTCACGCCTCTCACTGCTCTGGCGCATAAATTGTTTTCTATTCAAACTTGTACCAAAACCTGCTTTGTAGACTCTATATAATACACTAAGAATAACAGCTCTTCTCCTCTCTGTCTTTGAACTATTGCCCCTTCTCCAGAGCCTAATTCAAATTTCATCTTTTCTGTGTGACTGCCCTAATCATTTAGTCAGATTTTTTGCCTACAATTTTTTAATACTTTCTCTAATAGTCTGTTCTCATGCTGCTGAGACTAAGCAATTTGCAAAAGAAAGGTTTAATGAACTTATAGTTCCACATGGCTGGGGGAGGCCTCACAATCATAATGGAAAGCAAAGAGGAACAAGTCACATCTTACATGGATGGCAGCAGGCAAAGAGAGAGCTTGTGCATGGGAATTCCTCTTTAAAAAACCATCAGATCTTGTGAGACTTATTCACTATCATGAGAACAACATGGGAAAGACTTGCCCCCATGATTCAATTACCTCCTACTGGGTCCTTCCCACAACATGTGGGAATTCAAGTTGAGATTTGGGTGGGGACACAGCCAAACCATATCACTTTCTATAATATTAATAAATTTTTCAATCATGTCAGTTTCATTTCTCCATAGAATCTTTAACTTCATTGATGGTAAGGCCTACATTTCATACCTTTTGCAGTCCCTCCAACGGTCTGGCATAAGGACTTGTGCACGACATTAAAGATATTATTGATTGATGGCAGTAGAGTAGATGCTTGCATTCCAAAAGATGACTGAAAACATTAGAGTAAATGGATAATTCCTCACATCAGAAAGAGCCAAGTTTGGAATGTAAAGAATTAGCTGCCACTTAATCAGGGTTGGTGCATATGACAGGATAGGTTGTGCACAACTTCAACAACTGTGCATAGCAGCACAACAAAAGGACTTAGCCCAGAGGTCAGAGCTGTAGGTGTTGATACAAACTTGTAAGAGTTCATGAATTAGATGCTTCCTGTGAAATTCATTCTATGCAGCTTACAAAATCTGGATGTGTCAGAGTTCTCACCTGTAAACGGAGAATGCACATAAATGAAAACTGTTGCACAACAGTTGTTACCAAACTGTCAAGGGGCATTCTTTTGTGTGCACAAACATCACAGTATATAATTTTTCTATCCTCGAAATTGTATTTTTCACGGAAAATGGTTCAGCCACTATGGGAACGTGTTTGGCAGGTTTTCAAGAAGCTAAACATAGAATTACCATATGACCCAGCAATTCCGCTTGTAGGTATATATCCAACAGAACTGAAAACAGATACTCAAATACACATATACACATGCTCCTGGCAGCACAATTTACAAGAACTAAAAGATGGAAACAACATAGTGTCTATCAATGAATAAATAAACTAATTGTGACAGATACATATAATAAGATATTTTTAGCCATGCTATGATATGGATTAAACTTTGAAACAATATGCTAAGTGGAAGAAGCCAGACCCAAAAGTCCACATATTGTATCGTTCTATTTATATGAATTACTCAAAATAGGCAAATCCATAGAGACAGAAAGTAAATTGGTGTTTTGTAGGGATAAGTAGGGGGAGGATACGGAATAATTATTTAGTAGGTACAGGGTACCCTTTTTGGGGTGATTAAAGTTATTTTGGGACTAGATTAAAGCAGTGTTCTCATATAGTTGTGAGTATATTAAATGACACCTAATTGTTAACTTTAAAATGGTTAATTTTATGTGAATTTTGCCTCAATTAAAAACATGGTTCTCCTTATTACTATGCAACATATTCATTATACTCATTGCTTTTTTAGTGTGTTTCCAGCATTACACTGTAAAGAAAAACAGTAAATAAATAAAACAGTTTCCCTGCTATCAAAGGTTTTTGAAACCATTTGGGAAGTAAGTCCTAATCAAAGCAATTGGATAATGATACAAAACAAGCTATAAAAAGATAGTACCATTAGCATCTGAGGAGGGTTTGCTTTCCTTAATTCCTCCCCGGGTTTTCCAGATAGCTTTTGAACCTGGGCCAGTCACTTGATGTCTCTTACTTAATAGAAAGAAAAGATTGAATGTGAGAGTCTCCAGGATTACTACTGGGTTCAAAAAGATTGGGAGATTTTAAAGGTGATATTGTATGGCAGAGATAATATATGTTATAAGGAGCAAATTTCTGGAAAATACATGAGTGGCAATAGTCCCCGGCAAATACTTCAGAGGAGAGTCGAAAGGGTGGATGTTGTCTTTAGCCTAGAGGACAGCGTTGGAGAGGTTGCCATTGCCATGTTACATGAGAAGAGAACCTAAACATATTTTTTATATTGAACTAATATGAGAGAGTATATTTTCTGTTAAAAAAAAAAAAAAGTGTGTTCTTAAGTTATAGCTAAGTCACTCACAGATTATCTTCTATTCAAGTTATCTAAGGGCATATTCTTCTCCATAACTGAGACCCAACCATATAAAAACATGGTGTCTATAATAAAATCATTAGAATCCCAACAGAAAACACATTATATTTCATCATAATGACAGTTAAATTTCTCCACATATGAAATGAAGTTCTCAATTGTGAATTTTGTCCGGTTTTATCCTCTGGCAGTTTGGATTTAATGAACCGAAGTTGGGATGAGTAAGATTGAGGTGTGAAAGCATGGAAGGATTCATCTTTCATACTGTGTATTACCAACCTCAAATCCATCAGTTATGTCATTCTCTCTATAAATCACACAAAACAAACTTCTCCCTAAGCAATAATTACACTAACGCCTTAAGTAGACATTTTCTCAACATCCCTAGAGTAAATGCATTATTTCAAAGGATGATAAAATGTCTGATGAAAGGCTACCAGGATTGCTGCACAACTTTGCATTCCCCATTACCATGTTACAGAGAAGAGGACCCGGATTTTCTTCTTTCACATTCTTTTACGATACACGAATAGTCTTTGAAAGGTGCTCTCCTTATCGCATTTCATCTGGTATGTAAATTGCCAAACTGCAAGTCTGCTTGTCTGAGATTGTTTTATAAACCATCATTGTTTATACATGTCACTGATTAGTTTCTCTTTCGTAGCTTGGATTGTTACTTATTTGAAAAAAGTGTTGCTCTTCAACTGAAGTGCCCTTGCGTCTCCTTTCTCCAACTGGAGTGGGGTGGGACAGTGGAAGTAGACTGAGCAATTCTTAACCTGGGGGGGAGCCACTTCCGGTCAGAACATCAATGACTGCCACTTGAATCAACAAAAAGAAGGAAATATCAATTTGAGTTTTGGAGAGGATGAATTTTCTTAGTCGCAAAACTTGGAAGGCTATGATTACCTGTGGCCAGATTGACACACGACCCTCTTCGCACCCTCCCTCCAGAAGCCCCTTCACACACATATCCACTGATAACATGCCCAGGTAGAGAGGGAACCCTGAACACATTGCCCCAGCCATTGCCTCTGGCTCCTTGGGTGCTGTGGCTGCAAGTACACCTTTCAGAAAAGCAAGCAGGGATTTATGTTCCTTTTCACACCTTCTTCAGCAATCTTCTGTGGCAGAATCTTTGGGAATGGGAACAAGTACAGTAGCAAAAAAGAAAAAAAAAAGAAAAAGAAAAACTGTTTATGAATAATGGAACATTTCAAATCCATCTGGTTTCTGAGACATTTTTTAGTTTCTCACTACAGCCAATTATATAGCATGCTTGAGTGAGAACTGGTTCTATCCTGAGGCTCATTCTGCTCTCAAATTTCTACATTGATAGTTGCTACCAACCTCTGAGGTTGGTAGCCATATGGTAGTCCAATATGGTACTTTATACTCTACTTGTTATATAGTAGGTGATATTCTGGTGAACATAAATCCACATTGTAGTAGGCATCATAAAGGGAGACCCAGGGTGGGGAAGCTGGAGGGCCTTCCCAGATTTTGGCAACATGCAATAGTTTCCCTTTTTAGTTTAAGGATGCTGGGGAATTATTTCCATAGTTTTTCCTTTTGCTGTCTATGTATATCCAGTGTGTCCCTGAGTAAATGACGAGAGCCCATGAGAAAAATAGGGAAAAAATATTTTGGTTTTGGGAAAAGGCATTTCATTCATTCCATTCTTCAAGCATCTTGCATTTCTATAAACTTTTATTATGAAATATTTGAACTTATAAATACATATCTATATACTATTTTTTCAATTTGTATATTTCAACTTATAATACTTATATGTATTTCAATTTATATATTTCGTTATGTAAAAGTAGAGCTAATACTATATTGAACCTTTGTATATGTCCATACATAGCTTCAAAAGACTACTCTCAAAAAATAAACTTAATATCATTGCTTCTAAAATTTTATATCAGTAAAGCTTTATCATCATTAAATATCCAGTCAATTTACAGAGTAATAAGGACTTTATATTTGCCTATTAAATAAGCAGTTTTCTTGTTATCTAAAGGCCTCTCTAGATGACTCACTAGAGACTACTATGATTGTCCATTTCTACAGATAAGGGACTGAGGCTCCAGAAATGTAAATACATTGTCCAAACTTGCAAGGTAAACAAGGAACAAAGTGCAGCTCAATCTCAAATCTCTGCCACTCAAGTCTGTTGTATTAAACTGCTTTGCCAGGAGCTCTCTGGGTCTAGCCTTAACCTTAGAGAGGCAGGGCCATTGTGGACAGTCCCATGCAAACACCCAATTTCCAACAACATTTGGCTGACTCTATGTCTGTAGAACTGGACCCTCAGGAGGGTTATGAATATGCACTGAATACACATGATGCATTTATATGCATGGTGTATGTGGTTGAAGTTTAACCTCGCCACAGGAGACAATGAGGTTTTGCAGTCCTTGTTCAGTGACTGTAGCCTTCTCTGGCTTATTCTCAAGTCCACTCTCTTTTCCTCTTATTATTGCCACTAAATTACAAATTTTTCAAGGCAGAAATGTATTTTAAATGTTAGCATACTTCTCCCCTTTGGCCAGCACTATATGTTGTATGTAGAAGTGAGAGGTGAAGCCTGCTGGACTTCCTGGGTCGAGTGGGGACTTGCAGAACTTTTCTGCCTTACAAGAGGATTGTAAAATGCACCAATCAGCACTCTGTAGCTAGGATTGTAAAACACACCAATCAGCGCCCTATAGCTAGCTAGAGGTTTGTAAAATGCACAAATCAGTGCTCTGTACAAACACATCAATCAGCACTCTGTGGCTAGAGAGAGGTTTATAAAATGGACCAATCAGCATTCTGTAAAATGGACCAATCAACAGAACATGGGCAGGGACAAATAAGGGAATAAGAGCTGGCCACCCCAGCCAGCAGTGGCAACCCGCTGGGTTCCCCTTCCATGCTGCGGAAGCTTTGTTCTTTCACTCTTCACAATAAATCTTGCTGCTGCTCACTCTGGGTCTGTGCCACCTTTAAGAACACTCACTGCAAAGGTCTGCGGCTTCATTCACGAAGTCAGCGAGACCACAAACCCACCGGAAGCAACCAACTCCAGACACAGAGGGACTAGATAAATACTGGTTGAATGAAGGAATATGAACAAAGCCACTTGTAAGTATTGTAAATTTACTGTTAACCATTTTAGGTAACATGTATCTAAATTTCATTCCAAACAGCCTATAATAGATTATGTAATATGTGCAATAGCTCCTCAAGCTAAACTGAACAAGACAGTAAAAATGTAGAATATTTAATACCATATTCCAAGTCACAGTCCAATGAAGGATGGCGTATCTCAACAAGTAAGTGATTAATTTTTTTTTTTTTTTTTTTTGGTCTCTCTGTCGCCCAGGCTGGAGTGCAGTGGCGGGATCTTGGCTCACTGAAACCTTCGCCTCCTAGGCGGGAGTTCAAGCAATTCTCCCGCCTCAACCTCCAGAATAGCTGGGACTACAGGTGTGCACCACCACATTTGGCTAATTTTTTGTATTTTTAGTAGAGACAGGGTTTCACCGTGTTAGCCAGGATGGTCTCCATCTCCTGACCTCATGATCCGCCCACTTCGGCCTCCCACCATACTGGGTATTACAGGCATGAGCCACTGTGTCCA